TCCGATTCTCTCTCTCTCTCTCTCTCTCTCTCTCTCTCTCTCTCTCTTTCTCTCTCTCTCACACACACACACACATCCTCACTCTTCTCTCTCAAAAAAAAAATGTCCAACTGCATCATTTGCACAACATCAATAGGGATGAGAGGTGGCGTAGGTGGTGATTGAGGCGACTGAGACATACAAATTGTGCACATGAGACTAACCTAATCTCCACTCCTAGCTACAAAAGAAAATTGTCCTAGATAGAACTCTAAAATATTCACTCCAAACTTATGTATGCAATCATTCCAACCGCCGAGTTACACGGATCTATCGTCTGAGACAACACTCGAGAAAACCAAAATCAACAATCTTTACATGTTTTCAAGAATTAATCAACAGATTCGAAGGCTTAGTGTCTTTGTGAACAATCTTACGCTTTTGGAGATAGTATAGGCCAGAGAGAAGCTTGAGAGAGATATCGACGAGGTATGAGTCGTTGTGGATAGGCTTAACTTCAAGAGATCCACCGTCCATGTACTTGAGAAGAAGTTGAATCTCGTTGGCATGATTGAACATGTCGTGACACTTGACAACGTTATGGTTATCAACATTGCAACAGATTTTGATTTCACGGCAGATCTAGTAACGAACCTTGTCGTCGTGCTTTTCGAAAATCGCCTTCAAGATGTAAAGCCTCCAAACCGGTATGTATAAATTGATATATAAGGGGGATCAGAGAAAGAAGATATAGTGGTGTCTTTGATATTTCTGTTATAAGGAACCCAACGAGAAAGCTCTTATCTATTCAAAATTTCAATAGATAAAGGGAAAAGAATTGAACAGATATGGAAAAAATTGAACAAGTCTGTTTCAACAGATAATCAAATTAAACTACTATTTTAACAGATTAAAAAATAAGACAGATAAAAATTGAGCATATAGAAGGGAAATTGAATAAATAGGAAAAAAAATTGAATAGATAGATATAACTTTAAACAGATAAGTTCTAAAAAATTGAACAGATAAATTTTGTTTAACAAATTGATTAGGGGGTATTGAAAACAACAAAATGTATTTCTCACCATACTATTTCACAAAATGTGGACTTCTCACCTATCAAAAAAATATCCATTAAACCTACCACCTTACACAATTGCTAAATTTGATGGTTGACTAACCCAAACCACTACCTATATTTATTGAACCAAATCCGCCAAAACTAAAATAGCTAACTTAATAACTAATTTGATGGAGTTGAAATTTGATAATTTGCGTACTATTTTAACAAAAGAATAAAAATAAGGGTAAATTATGCAAATAGTCCCTGTAATTTACACGATGTGTCAATTTAGTCCCTGTAATTTACACGATGTGTCAATTTAGTCCCTTTAGTTTCAATTTTCTCGATTTTGTCCCTTAATTTGGTGGATTGTGTCATTTTAGTCCAATAAATAATGGTTGTTAAGTTAATTTAACGGAAGGTCAAACAATGTGTCAATTTAGTCCCTGTAGTTTCAATTTTCTCGATTTTGACAGGGACTAAATTGACACATTGTGAAAAATACAGGGACCAAATTAACACATTGTTTGACTTTCCATTAAATTAACTTAACAACTGTTATTTATTGGACTAAAATGACATAATCCGTTAAATTAAGGGACAAAATCGAGCAAATTGAAACTATAGGGACTAAATTGACACATCGTGTAAACTATATGGGCTATTTGCATAATTTGACCTAAAAATAACTAACTTGATGGAGATGCTCTAACAAAGTAATCAAGAGTTTAGTTAGAGTAGTTTTGTGAATTGTAATTAGCTACTTTTTTTTAGACACTATTAAGGCTTTGTTTGGGATGTGGGTTTATTGACTATTTTAGCCACATACACAGGTCCAAAAGTCCAATTTTTAATTTTTTTAGTCTAAAAGTCCATGCGCTTTTTCATTTTGTCCATAAGAGCATTCTTCTACAAAATGAAAAAAAAAAAAAAAAAAAAAAAGAGCTAAAATAGCCAATAACACAAAATGTCACATCTAAACTATAATCATTTTATTTATTTTTTTCACAATCATCAATTCAACTATAAATAAAAAATAAAAAATCAAATCAAATCAAACACAATTTTTTTACCCATATTAAAATAGTTAAAAAAATCAAGTTAAAAAAGCCCATCCAAACGAGGACTAAGTAGTTATTTTCTTTTTTTGTTCTCAACTTCTCTCTCATAAAAACAATAAATGAAATATATATATTTTTTGCAAGAATATAGTTAAAATAAATAATATTTATGGTGTATATTAAAAAAAATAAAATTTGTTAAACTAATATAAAATAAGATTTTGACTAGTATTATTAGAGACACTATTAATCAGAGTGTTTACTACCAAACTCGCCATCATCAACCCCACCAATCGCCGTTGCCCTCTAGCCGCTGTCCACCGTCCACCATTCACAATCAACCATGAGAGTCGTCACCATTCGTGTAATTTGCTTAATTTTTTCTCTTGCAATCCATAATGTTGTTGTTGTTTTACTTCGAGCCTGTTGATATAATATAATAATTTCAGATGATTTGTATACGAGCGCGAAATAATTCTTCTCGTATGATCCTGTTGATCAAGTTTGCGCTCCTCCAAACGTCGTCACTTTACTTCCTGCCTAAGTCAGCAAATAGACAATAGACACAAAAGCTCTGTGTATTCTCGAGTAAGAATTGTGATACCTCTACATAAGTTCTGTTGTGAGCTTTTATAATTTTTGCCTAACATAATCTTAGTAGGACTCTTATTCTTCAATATAGAGTTCTCCTAGGAATCACACTCCTGAAAGATAATGCTTATTCTTCAACACCCTCCTCACTGCTTAAACCAAGTGAGATGGTTTTACCACGGTTGAATAACAGTATGACTGAGCTAACACTAGGCCCTTTAACATACTCAATCTGGTGCTTTCATATGCAACACCTAGCTTGGTCCCTGTTCACTTATACCCCGGTTTGGCTGTTTAGACCGAGCTAACCGCAGCAGCCCCAACCAAGCTAACAAGGGTAAGGTCCAATTTGTGACGCCGAAACACCTCGGCCCATAGCTCGGCCCAATCCTCTCCTGGCCCAAGCTCGTTAGTGTTTAGACCAAGCTACAGCAGCTCATATCTCTGTCCGACATGCGGCCCAACTTCCAAAGAAGCCTCTTCCTTAGCTCGGCCCAATTTATTTATAAATTACCCTCTCAATTTGAATATATATTTTATACGCTCAGATTATTCGGTGTAGGTATTAATCAATGTGGTGTATTGTATGATATGCTTAATTTCTTCCTTTAGTTGGTGTTGTTGATTTCTGAACTAAAGTTGTTGTTAGTTCAACATTTTAGTGATTTGATTTAGACATTATTTCTAAAAGTCTTCACCTAAAAAATTGGTCAATGTGAGATACGATGTGGTAAGGGTAAGTTTTGTTAGTGAAAAACTTCTTAATTTCTTCACTTGGTGGTCTTCAAGTCTTTAAAATTGGCAATCAAAGTTGTCTATGTAAATAGAAAAATTATTGTTTCAAGTCATGTTACTGAGTCACTTTCTTAAAAATAATATTTGCACCCATCAAATAGTGTGCAACGGATTATAACAAATTTGTCTCCAACATACAATGAAACTTGATTTAAGGATCAAGTCTACTGACGTCTGCATTGATGACAGTAGATCAGAATACTCTTGATATGATCAAAAGAACCAAGACACTGATAATCAAATCTGCAGAAAACAACTATCAATAATTGAAAGTAAAAATTTTGTTTAAAAATTCTTGATTAAAAACTCAAAATCAAGAGAGAGAGAGAGAGAGAGAGAGAGAGAGAGAGAGAGAGAGAGTTGTGAGAATAATTTTGAAAATTCGATGATGGAAATGGCAAGATTCGCAGCCTATTTATAGGCATTGATGCACATGATTGGATGGGTCATGTCCCTTGATCACATCCGATCAGATATGACCATTGGATCGTCAAGTTATGGTGCGAATTAGTTACACACCAAATTGATGTATTGGCTGGTTACACCTGATCACAATCGGTTGTCATTTGATCCGTTGCATCACGCGCTTCTCCAATCAATGACTAATAAGATCAAGCCACTTCAGATCGGGCACACAACCATTTGATCAGTTGATTGACTCGTCGCCAATGTATGCCACATCATTGCTACACAGAACTAACTATGTTCCTTGTCATCCATGCCACGTCAGATCGACATCATCAGCCCAACTTGTCTGAAGTAAATAGAAAATTGCCCTCGTGGCATCGGTGCAAAGTGCGTTATCAAAGCTTCACGCAGCCTATGCCATGCGCGTGTACTGATGTGGTAACGATTGGGAAAAATTTTAACTCATTACAAGAAAATGGACTATTTGAGTCGAATTATTTGTGACGAGAACACTTACCAACTCAAAAATAGATTATTAGCGTCAGCAAAATAGGCCTGTCTCCAAAAAATTCTACTGACTATTTATTATTTAAGTCGACAGATTATACCATCTCAAAAATATATTATTTGCGTCGGCAAAATTTTTACCGTCTCAAAAAATACTATCTAATTTTTTATCCATTTTTGTCGCTCCAAAATTTCCCTCGCGTGCTTCTGTCTCGCGCCTATTTCATGTAGCCTTTGCGTCCACATTGTTTGCTGTGCAAAAAGTAATGAAAAAAAAAAAATTAAAACAGCATAAACCCTGCTATATCTACATATATAAAGATCCTTATTCCTCTGTTTTGTTCTCTTTTTTCCCTAACTCTTCATCAGCACCATATCACTCTCTATCTCCACCAGCACCACCGACTCTCTATCTCCACCGGCACCACTAACTCTCCATCTCCATTGGCACCACCGACTCTACTCCTCCACCGGCCCGCCGACTGTCCTCTTCCTGAGGGTAAGTACTCTCTTTCTCTCTCTCTCGCGCTCTCTCTCTCATATATATATATATATATATCAGTCTCCCTCACTTTCTCTTTCTCTATTCTGCCATTTCTTTCAGATCAATTTCTTTTTGTCCAGCGAGTAAGCAATCTCTCTCTCTCTCTCCCTTAATTTGTTTCTTCTCCTCCATCCTTTTCCTCCGTCAAATATGAAACCAGAGATCCTACATTGATTTTGAACTGAAGCCAGAGATCCCACATTGAGTTTTACAACAAATTATGTAAATATTTGTGCAATAATAAATGTTTAATTTTTAAAATTTTGTTAGATATATTTAATATTAGACTCATTTTAAAAGTATAATTTTAATCTTTTTAATGAAGTCAAATTATAAAAATTAGACGTACATATTAAAAGTTATTTGTCTTTTTTAACATACAAATATATATATATATATATATATATAATTGGTATATAAATTTGAAAGGAGAAGGTCATGAGGATAAGTTTAGTATTTTAAAAAAATGACTAGTGTTATAGAGGTATATTCTATTTTTCATACTTCCTTTATATATGGATGATTTTTAGATGATAGGTTGAAGTGGATAATCGTTCATATTTAAAGATCGACCCCGCTACGTAGCTCGAAATTCTTTGGCACGAATTTGGCTCGACATCAAAACGACGTCGTTTTGGTGTCGTTTTTTTCTTCTTTTTTTTTTTCTTTTTTCCTGTGTTGTTTGCAGAGAAGGAGAACGGAGAAGAAGAAGAAAAGGAAGAAGAAAAAGAAGGGAGAAGAAGAAGGGTGGAGAAGAAGATCGGGAGGAGGAGGAAGGAGGGAGGGGAGGGGGCCATAAAAATCGGGCTGGAGGAGGAGGCGGGGCTGCGCCGGGCTAGCTGCTGCGACGAACTGGACAGGAGGGGGTTGCGACTACGACTGCGACGATTGGCGAGGCGGTGGTGCGACGATCGGCGAGGAGGTGGGGAGGTGGTGCTGCGACGACGGCGGCGAGGCGACTGCGACGGCGATGGTGCTGCCTCCTCCTCTTTCTCTTCTCCTCTCTTCTTCCTCTCTTCTCTCCCTCTTTCTCCTCTCCTCTTCCCTCTGTTTCTCTTCTCCCTCTTTCTCCTCTTGCTTGAAAAAAATTTCGAGCCGTTTCGAGCCATAGAGTTTCGAGCTCTGGATCATTTTCGTTTAAAGATATAGAGTGTGAATTGGGGATACTCTAACACTATTTCCAATCTTTCACCAAAATTTTCATTTAATTTGATTTCAAATTTGAATAAAAAGTTAGAGTTGACGTGAACTACTCCAATCATCTCATTAAATTTTATCAAAACATTTTTTTTTAAAAAAATTGTTTATCCCAAATTTGTCTTTTCATCAAATTTGATGAGAGCTCATCTCTAATACTTCATCTTTTTAAATTTTTTGATGAAGGATTTGATGAATTCTCCATTTGATGAAAAATATGACTCCTCCTTGATTAATGAATATTTGAGATATAAATATGTGTTCTTTTTATGTGTAAATTATGGTTTTGGGATTTTTTTTTCCTCCCCTTTCTTGTACATGAGTTGTGTAGTAGCCAATTGTTGTATTTTCATATGTTAGGAGGTAATTTTTTGGTTGTCTTAAACTAATATAGTACTCGTTGAATGTCTAGTTAACTATTTATTTCTATTTTTTAATTGGGAAAAAAAAAAGAATGAGAACTCCAAAAAGTCTCCTAATGTACCCATAATGGCATGACTATAGAGTTTGTTGGATAGCATGTTAAAAATTACATAATCAAAATACAAAAAAAGAAAAAAAAATGAGTAACATTTAAGCTAAAATATAACCCAAAAAAAAAAAAAACTAATTGGATGGAGATGCTGTAAAGCTAACTCATTTCATTGTGGGTGAACTGTGCTTTTATGGCATCTCCAAAGTCTCCTAATGTACCCATAATGGCATGAATATAGAGTTTGTTGGATAGTGTGTTAAAAATTACATAATCAAAATACAAAAAAAAGAAAAAAAAAATGAGTAACATTTAAGCTAAAATATAACCCAAAAAAAAAAAAAAACTAATTTGATGGAGATGCTCAAAAGCTAACTCATTTCATTGTGGGTGAACTGTGATTTTATAGCATTTCTCTTTTTAATTTTAGAAAAGAAAATGCCATTCTACAAGTATGCGACGCAGTCACTCAGGACATCGAGGAGAGGCTCACAGCTGAGATTGAGCAGTGGATTACCAATAAGTTAAAGATAGAGTTTGAACAAGTGAGAGCCTACATGGACTTCATAACATCCCAAGGGGGCACAGGTTCTATACAGGTAGAGTATAATAACCAATTGAACATTTTTAAGAAATATTTTTTCCTACGTATTATATTTAATAACAAATATCAAATTTCGTTTATATAGATTCCGGATGTCTTTAGGGGACATCGACGAGTTAGGGAGTCTGTTGGAGATGACACTGAAGATGATAAATTGTTGGATTCTCATGAGCAGGTATTTCTTTTCTACTTAATGCAATATTCACAAACACACATACGGTTGAGGTTAAGGGTTAGCCTATTGAAAATCCTTAGTGATGTTAATGAAAACCCCGATATGTTGTATTTATTGCATAATGTAGTGTTAGTTGTGTTAGGAGGTCTGATTGTGAGCCTACTGAAAGTTTGGGACTGTCCATCTCATATAATTAACCATGATCCTCTTTCTTAACATTGCAGGGACTGTCCATGTCATGTTCTAGTGGGTGGGAAGACTCATCTTTTGCTGAGATTGATTCATGAATTCTATTAGTTTTAGCTGTTACATATATGTCTTTATCTCTCGTCGAGTGATTGTTATCCTCACTGTTGAGTAGCAAAATCAAGGATTCATTCTCATCAACATATGGCAACATATCCATTTGTGCATAGATTATATTTACCACATTTCCAAGAACATGATGATACCTGAAAATATATGCATTCAAACATCATTTAATATGACTGATTCTAACTTTAGGTAACAATGTGATGCTCATACTAAATAATTCACATGTTAAATGAGTCGTATAAAGAGCTAACTACTTTTATTTTATTTTATTTTTTTATGTGGATCTTGTGGAACTTGGATGTAGAAGTGGCTCTGATAAAGAGCTAGTCAATGCGGAAATAATAAAAATATTTCTGTTTCACATCAGAAATGGTTCTAGAAACCCAAACTGACTGTCATCCATGCAATTTGGTTACTGAAAGCATAGCGTTTAAAACAAATTTGTAGTTTGCAAATCAAAAGCACTCTGGATGCATTCTACTAGATGATGCTTCTGCTGCCAAATACTTGCTAAAGCACACTGATGTTACAGTCCTAGAGATATTCAATGTCATTGTTATGATTATTATATGAGCAGTTACAACCGAAATTTAGTCTCTATTCATTCTAGTTATTTCAGAATGAAGAGGAGCTTCATTTATTTATTCTTTTACATTTTTATTTGACTCAAAAACAGAGTTTATTTTCTGTAGAGAATTTTTTTTTAATGGAAAACTGCAGGTGCTACTTTTGCTGGAAATATTTTATCAGATTAATTGTTCACCACCTTGGCGGTATTGTTGACCTTCATTACATGCTTCATTTAATTGTTTGCTTGGCCTGTTTGTTTTTTTGTTTTTTGTTTTCAGGTTATGAAAAAGATTAGTGGTCGTAGAGATTACTGGTGGCATGAGGCTAATTGTTTTTTTGAACATCTATCTTTATGTTTTGGGCCTATCATTTATTTATTTTTGTTTTCAGGTTTTGTAGAAAGATTAATGGTGAGGTAAAGATTAACGGTGGCATGGGGTCTAATTTTTTTTTTTTTTGAACATGTATCTTTATGTTTTGCTGCCATTTTTCTATTTTTGTTTTTAGGTTTTGCAGAAAGAATAGTGATGGTAGATATTGACGGTGTGGCATTGGGGCTAATTGTTTTTTTGGATATTTTTTTGGCTGCCATCTAGACTTAAGTTTTGGATAATGCTGTAATTAATATTTAGAGCTTATTGATATCTTATAGTTTGTATTAACGAATTATTGTTAATATTTTGATGTAATTGAACAAATGTTGGATTTATATTGATTAAATATGTTTATATTAATATTTGATTTGAATGTGACTGAATCAGAATGAAGAGGAGCTTCATTTATTTATTCTTTTACATTTTTATTTGACTCAAAAACAGAGTTTATTTTCTGTAGAGAATTTTTTTTTAATGGAAAACTGCAGGTGCTACTTTTGCTGGAAATATTTTATCAGATTAATTGTTCACCACCTTGGCGGTATTGTTGACCTTCATTACATGCTTCATTTAATTGTTTGCTTGGCCTGTTTGTTTTTTTGTTTTTTGTTTTCAGGTTATGAAAAAAGATTAGTGGTCGTAGAGATTAATGGTGGCATGGGGCTAATTGTTTTTTTGAACATCTATCTTTATGTTTTGGGCCTACCATTTATTTATTTTTGTTTTCAGGTTTTGTAGAAAGATTAATGGTGAGGTAAAGATTAACGGTGGCATGGGGTCTAATTTTTTTTGTTTTTTTGTTTTTGAACATGTACCTTTATGTTTTGCTGCCATTTTTCTATTTTTGTTTTTAGGTTTTGCAGAAAGAATAGTGATGGTAGATATTGACGGTGTGGCATTGGGGCTAATTGTTTTTTTGGATATTTTTTTGGCTGCCATCTAGACTTAAGTTTTGGATAATGCTGTAATTAATATTTAGAGCTTATTGATATCTTATAGTTTGTATTAACGAATTATTGTTAATATTTTGATGTAATTGAACAAATGTTGGATTTATATTGATTAAATATGTTTATATTAATATTTGATTTGAATGTGACTGAATGTGTATGGAAATGTTTATTTTTTATTTTTGCTTGGCAAAATATTTGAATTTGAGTCAATAAAACACAAGAAAATTTTAAATAATTAAAATCTTATTTATAAAAAGTAAGTACCTATTTATGACTGTCAAAATACCGTTGCAAACAGACATTTATTATTTTTAAAAAAATTAATTTTTTTTGTGACAGAAAAAAGCGTCGCTAAATTTGATGGTGATATATTTTTATTTTTATTTTTTTGCAAAATATGAGTATCACCAATAGCAATAAACCGACGCGAAAGATAGTTTTAGTGACGGCATTTGTCTTGGATGCTAGAAGTAAATTTTTTTCATGTTTATTTGAGTCGGTAAATATCCGTCTCATTTAGTATTCATTACCATCGCAAATATTTAGAGACGGCAGGTTTGCTGTCTCTAAAACTATTAGTGACCCCATTAGTCTCGTCCCTTGCCATGCTGACGCTAAAAGCTTTTGCGATGGTATGAAGCACTTTTGAGATAGTATTCTGCCAACGCAAAAACCTCCATTTCCAGTAGTGACTTTAATTTTATTTAATTGGGTCCTAACTAAGATTAATTAATTACAATTAAGCTCATAAGTTTTTCTATTTATTTCAATTTAGACCTCAGTCAGTTAATTTTTAGCGCAACTATCTTGGTTTGCATGCATTGATTCTCGAGCCATCTGGGACTCAAGGGATAGACACTTTGGGCCTAGTAGAGTGTTAATATGATCATATGGTCAATCATGTACAAATAGATTGGAACAAGGTTGTGTTTGTGATCATCATCTAGGAGGTAGGTCTCTAGTTTTCTTCCTCCTTTTGCTTTTGTTCTTTATCCTTATTGCATTACCATTTAATCCATTGATGAAGAGGTTGTAGGTGAGTGTATTTTGTGTATATATATACTGCTAAGAAATCCGATGAGCTAAATTAATGTTTAAATGATTGGTGTAACTTTTAGTCTAAAAATTATGCATATAACCACAAACTTTAAAAATCAAGAAATCATATCAAACAAATGAATTTTAAATTGAAATTTTTATAGTAACTTATTACATATTGAATTTCATACCGGAATTTTCTCATAATTTTTAGGAGTCTAAAATCATATAAACTAGTACAAAATAGCAACTTCAAAAGGGTTGTTTTCTTTGGATATCATTAAGAAAAATTATCACATCAATGCCACTAGAGCTGTCTATGAGTCTAATTTCTTACTTTTTTGGCCTTGCATCGATTGTTCATGTATGTTCAGAGGATGATTAATTTCTTTAAGGTGCTTCAGAAATCAACCTGTTTGGATATAATTAATTGCAAATAATTCTTTTGATAAGCAAATCAAGTCAAATCAATTGGATTTGAAACTTAGGATATAGTAGTTGATATCTGGATGGTTTCAAATAAATATTCGAACGATGTAAAGTGGGTTTTTAATTTTTAAGATTAGCGAATAGATTGAGAAAACCTATTTAAAATTCGGTTTTATTTGAAAGCAACAATTACTTAAGTTTTGACCGCAACCGATGTCACTACCCCATTCCGCTTCCAACATAAGGATGACGTGATATCCAGTAATCTTAGATTACCAATGGCCCACTGACAAATATTCACACATACAGAGTATAAATGTCAGGCATACATGTACAGAAGTAATAAATTCAAATCTAATTAGTCTATAAGAGTTGTGCATAGATCAAATGAAATGACAAACATATTAACATGGTTTTACAACTTGGATACAAAAGATAGTAAGCTTGTACATAAACAATCTCATGTTACATTTTGATCAAAAGGCTTCTCAAGCCAAACCATACAAAAGAAATGATCTATAAAGCTAAGAAACATAATCTTAAAGATGAATACAAAACATGAAACAAAACATATCTTCCACAAAGCTTAGGCAACATCGCCTTCTTGTTTAAGTAATAAAAGCTGAAAACTCAGTGAATGATATAAGTAATAAAAGGTTTGAATGAATGATCTGAGGTTTTATCAAATCAATACATATCATAGCTTGAATAGAATCAAAGGATGAACCAAGTTCATTGATCAAAGGCTTTGAAAGCTTCAAAGGATGTTTACTAACATCTTCAAAATACATAAGATGAACATTCATTGACAAAACAAAGGAATCATTAACTCAGAATCGATTAAACAAGCCCACCCATCGGTGGCAAATGAGATATCTCAAACAAAGATACTAGTTATATTAAAGTCCCCTTGCACACAAGGACCTTTCAAGATTGTCATCAAAACAAACATAATACTTGATATAAAAACTAAGAGATAATCATTCATGCTTGATCAAATACTTTTTCAAAACAAAGTAAAGCTTTTATCCAAAACATTATAACATAATTTTATTAAAAATACCACTCATGATAGCTCTTCAGTTGAGAGGAATTAAGGCAAAGATTCAAGACCTACAAATACATGGTAAATGTCATTGAATGCACTTTAATCAGACAAGAAGAGATACTCAAAGATGGTTATGCAATGCACTCTCAAAACAAGCTTCAAATGAGTAAAATAAATCTCGGCATTTCTTCCCAAAACCAAAATGGGTGAACCAAGGTGGGTGAACTCAAGGTGGGTGAACTCAAATGAGTTAAATCAATATTTTTCTTCTTGAAAAAGCATGTTGGGTACAAATCAAGTCTCAGAATGGATACACAAAGATGAGTTGGGCTAAAATGTCCTAGGTGGATGAACTCAGGAGGTCATGGCCGAGGTTCCACATCTCTTGGCCAAGGTGTGCTCTCCCTAGTTGAGGTGTTACAAGGTGTCGACAAAGATGTATTGTCGTCGGCCTAGGTGTGCAGTGGTTGGTAGATCAAAGTACAAGTGATCATGCAAGGTAGGCCAAGGTGACATTCAATGCTTGGCCTTGGTGTGGAAGTTGGACAAGAGTAGGTCTCGGTGACCACACTTAGGGGATAATGAAATCTGGTAATTTGGGTTTCTCCTTGAAGAACATGAATGCTAAAAATCATACTTCTTATTCAAAATCTGGGATTTCATGATATGAGTTCGAAAATATGGGCATGTTCCCATGCTTGAAAATTTCATGAAAACAAACACAAAAAACATAGAACTTGATACAAACTTTTAGATCAAAACAAGGTTTTTCTTTTTGAACACAAGAACATCACTTTCTCTCTCTAAAACAAAACCTTAAATCAATGCATGGCTTATGAATCATGCTAGATCATGCAATGCGATTAGATTAACATAAAAAACAACAAAAGTAGATCAAGAATCTAATCTCAAAATACAATCAAATGGTCCAAAGTCTAATAATCGAGCTTGGAAAATCTAGCTTCCCCCCAAGAACTTCTTCTTCCTAGAGCCTTTCTTTCTCTTCAAGACCAAGATATGACAAATGATATGGGTTCTCAACTACTAACTGACTTAAACCCAGTATTGGGACACGTGGCATCATCTAGTTAAATCCCCTTAAAAAAGGTACCATAATAAAAGGACAAGAGTAGGTCAAAGTGTATACAACAAGGTGGCATGGGTACTTCTGACAAGGCAAGATCCTGGATCAATTCATAGGCTTCATACATGTAAGGTCTCCTTGACCTCAGCTAGGAGGGGTGACACTTGGCCTAGGTGTGACATACCTTAGCCTAGGTTATACATGACATGGAACAAGGTTGCTAGGTGTTGGCTAAGGTACACAACTCGGCAAGAAGGTATCCAACACGACTGCAAGGTTAAAGGATCAAAGACATTGGATGCCTAGGTAATGAACACCTTGGCCTAGGTGCGATAGTGGAGGTGGAGGTCAGCTAAGATGGTTTCAAGATGGTCCTAGGTGTTGACGACGCTCAACGACTTAGGCGTAAGAGGTTCAAAGGTGTGACCTAGGTGTGAGATAGCAAAGGTATATAGCCTAGGTTCAACACACAAAGCATGGAACAAAACATGGATCTTATATTTAAGCAAAACACAATAGCATCAAAACAAGACAAGATCCCATACTTTGACAAAATATCAAAGTTTAGAAAATGCAATCTTAACAAACTAAAATCATGTAAATTCTCATGAATATGACTAAGGCAAAATGAGGGTTGTTATAACCCATGTTGTGCGTAATTTTGGATCTTGAAGAACATAAACTTAGGTATTATTTAAGAGTAACGGTGAGTTGGGTTGAGCCATATTAGTACACTTTAGCTTGGGGTTACTTAATTTATAATTCATTTTAGTATTTTTGAGTTAATAGTGATGTGTA